TATTAATCTGATAGGCAAGGTTGTGCCCTTGTAAATAAATGTCACTAGAAATTTCCACTATAACCAACCGCCACGATCAATGTAAACAATACAATCTTTTAAGAGTTTAAGCTGTTCAAATTAGCATCTCATGGATTTCAGTTGGAAGCTGGTCTTATACTTGCCTAACTTCCTTTTCTCAACGTTATGCCATTGGGCAAATTAATGACACTATCAACAGAATTACCTGATACCCCAGGGGGATGATTGATAATATTCTTTTTCATTAAACAATAATGGGGCCTATAAAGTAAACCAAAGATTAACATAATGCAGACAAGTGCATGGAGTTTGGATTCACACTTAATTCCAGCCCCAATCTAAAAACAATTAGGTCTTATGATATGGCCCTGCTTGATGCTCACCTTCATGTAGAGATCATGTGAAGATAGGGAGTACTATGGCAAAGTGTAATCAAGAAAGTAAGAGGTGTCTGGCTATCAAAAAGAATAGCATCTGGGGTCTTAAGGCTTGTATTCAAACAAGCAGCCATCTAAGTGAGGCATAAACTAAATCCACATGAATGCAGTACACTCGCCTGTGTGATCCAAGGATACCAATAAATAATAAAATCCAAATACACAGGAGGAAAGGGTATCTGAGCTTAAATTATGAACACCCAATATGCAAAAGGCTATGGATGCCAGTACAAGTCCAAAATCCATTTGCAGGATCCCTATGTAGATTAAGCCTCTGGTGGATCCTTTCTGACCACAGTCAAAGGATATGAACCACCTTGATATCAGACAGACACTATTGTAAACTCAATTAGGACAGATGTAATTAGGTTAAAATGTGGTACCTGATCATTTGATCTCCCTTTTGACCTATTTTGGATTTGTTCTAGTTTTTAATATTTCCTGCTTTGTTTCTCAACAGAGGTTTATCTCTCTGGCTTACTTTTAATATTGTTGGTTTTTTTCTTAATATGTTTGCTTTTTTATCTGTATGTTTTACAGCATATGAAGCAGAAGATGGACGATGTATAGAGACAGTAATTGGTGTACTGGCTTATCGAGGATGGGAGGGTAGAGATTGGAGAGAAATGGGGAATAATGAGTACAGGAGAGGGGATGTTCTGGAATTGATTGTAGTGATGTATATACAACTCTTTTTAATATGACTAAACTATGATATGGCTAGTAGTCCATGATGAGTATGATATGTGAATTATATCTCTATAGAAGTGTATGTGAAGATATGACAAAATACCCATTTATAAACTATCAAGGGCTCATGCGGGAGGGGGGAGCGGGGAGGGAGGGGAAAAATGAGGACCTAATGTCGGGGGTTTAGATGGAGAGAAAATGTTTTGAGAAACGATGTACAAATGCGCTTTACACAATTGATGTGTGTATGGATTGGGATAACAGTTGTATGAGCCCCTAATAAAATGTTTAAAAAAAAAGAAGTGTATGTGTGTATAATTGTGAATTATATCTCAATAACATTGTTGGGGAGAAAAATCAATAAATGGTGCTGAGAAAATAGCAATAGTACACTTTCTTTTTCCACAAACTGAAAAATTAAGTAGGACCTATGCCTCACACTAAACACTAAAACAAATTCAAAGTGGTTAAGGATCTAAATGTGTAAAATAAAGCATAAAATTCTTAGAAGAAAAAGAAGAGCTATTACTGTGAGGCCTAGCTTTGAACAATATATTCTCTAATAACAAAGCACAAACAGGAAAAGACAAAGTAATTAAATAGGAACCTATAAAAATTAAATACTAAAAAGTAAAGACAAGCTACAGATAAAGAGTATAACTTGGGAAACCATATATCCAACAAGAACCTAATAACCAAAATATACTAGCATATAAATGTTTGCAGTAACAAAAGGAGAAAAAGCCCAATGATAAGCGAGCAAAGGGGTTGAATACATTTTACAAAGAGAACATTAAATACCCATCAAACATCTGAAAAGATGCTCTGTGTATCACTAGCCATTAGAGAGATACAACTCAAAACCACAAGGAGATATTTCATTTCCACTAGGATGGCTAAGAATAAAATACAAAAATTAAATTAAAAAAAAAACAGAAAATAACAAAATGTGGTGAAATTGGAATCCTAACACATAAACTGGTGTGAATGCAAAACAACACAACCGTTGCAAAAGAGTGCAGCAGTTTCTAAAAAAAACCAAAACCCATGAAAAGTAGAACTATGATATGACCCAGTGAATCTTTCATTTCCACTCTTATATACCAAAAGACTTGAAAACAGAGATTTGTAAACTGCAGCAATATTCACAATAGCTAAAACCTAAAAGCCCATCAAGAAATGAACAAACAAAATGTGGTATATACATAGAATGGACTCAGTCAGTAGGAAAAATGAAGTCTTGTATGGAGCCAGAAGGCATTATGGTGAGTGAAATAAGTTAATCACACAAAGACAAATATTGTGTGGCCTCACTTATATAAAAAGACAAAGTTTATTAGTGTTTACCATGGGTCGGATGGAAGGAGAGGGTGGGGAAGGTGATGATGATGGAACTATTCACTGAATATAGGTAGGACTGAACAGGCAATTGTTTTAGCTGCTACAAATAAGTTGTACACTTGTAAAAAGTTGAACTGGCAAAAGTTGTGTGATATATTTATAACAGATACATAACTAAAAGGGTAACTCCTGAAGCTGTTTATATACAACCAAACACTTCATGGGATTTGGTTTCTTGGTTTGGAGGTTTAGGGTCATGTTTTCATGGGGCATCCCAATATTGTGTACTGGATTGCTGTGAATCAAAAGCAACTCAGTGGCAGTTTAGTTGGCTTACGTTTAGCGCTTCTGTCCTACCTAATTTGTGCAGTACATGGGGTCTTAAAAGTTTGCAAGCCACCACCCAAGGCACAATTAGTCTCTGTTTACCTGGAGCAACAACAGAGGAAGGAGTCAGGAATAGGAGGATACAGAATAGGTAACTAATTGCCTCCATGAACCAGAAGAACTAGATGATGCCCAGCTACCACTACTGAGTACTTTTACTCTGCTATAAAATCTTAGATCAAAAGAGAGAAAATGTAGAAGTTCAAATTTTAATGGACACCAGATTTTCTGAAACTATTAAGGTTGAATGAACTCTACAACTATGGCCCCGAGATAATATTTAAATCTTACACTTAAAATATTCTGACTAGTTTAGCTTAACTAGTAAAAAATGTCGGCCTTGAGAATTATACTTTTAAGATTTATCTATATAGGCACATGGAAGAAAGATGAGGATTTCTACTCCCACAAAATGTTAGTCTCAGACACCCACAGGGACAGTTCTACTCATAGGGAAACTATGCATCAGAATCAACTTGATGGCAATGAGTCTTCAAATGGGATCAGACTGATTATAGCAATTCAAAGACAGAGGGAAAAAGGACAGTGAGTTTATGGTAATGTGAAACAACTCAAAAAACGGGTGAGAATGGTTGTACAACTCTAAGAATGTTGTCACTGAATATTTAGGGTAAAACTGCTGAATTGGCATTTTACTGTATATTTTCAGTAACACCATTGATTTTTAAAATAATTTTACAGTACTAACCATAGAAGAAAAAGAAGTTGTCACTTTATTGGTGAAAAAAAACCTGACAAGTAACTATTCATCCTGCTGGTTTTTCTCTGTGCTAAAATAGCATATGTACTAATTAAAAATACAATGTTACATTTACTTCATTCAATGAAGAATTGTAGGCCAGCGTGATAGCTTTTTTATTCTTTCCACAGACTTAAGCTGTGTCACACATAACCCCAATGGGTCACACATAATTTAACTGGAGAAAATACTGTCCCAATTTTAAGAGCAGCACTGTTTTAGAAAGGGTTCTGAAAGGATATGCAAGCATGTCAATGTACATTCAACTCCATTCAACAAGTACTTCTTCCATAATACTTGTGGGAAAACCTGGGCCAACAAGTACTGCAGGCTTACAAAAAGGAATTCATGGCATAGCCTCACATTAATCCAGCCACAGAAAGTAATTCAAAATTATCCTTTAATGTTTGCCTCTGTAGGAAAGGTCCACCCCCAGTTATTTAATGTTCATAATCTACATTACCGTGGTGGCTCCAGTTGCCATTTTTAGGTTATCAACTCCTTGAAAATAGGGTAAATGCCCATATTTAGGCACTTTTCTCACTGATTAGAAGGCGTAATAGTAACCGAATAAAATTATGCAACTACTTTGTGCAACTACTACCAGAAAAAGTCCATCTGGTTTCTGATTATAACCAAAAGGGATTTTACCAATTCCTTCTGGGTGAATGTGCCAACTGATTCAATTTCCTATAATGGTGTCTTGGAACCAGGGGCTCCCATCTGAAGCATAATGCTTTTAACAGCGTCCCTCTCTGGCCTGACCCATGGGTGGGGGGGTGGGGGATGCATTTTAGACAAGTCCCCAGTGCAACAACGGCCCGATTTTGGCTACATTCTCTTTAAGATTAAGGAAGTCAGCAACCACTCATCTCACGTGATCTTAAAAAAGGGGCGCAGTTGAGCCCGGAATAAACCACACTTTTTTTTTTTTTCCTTCTGCATCAACTTCACTGCCCAGCTTGAAGGAAGTGGGCAGAGACGTAGCGCAGGGGAGGCTAAGCAAACAGACGTGGGTGGTTGTGCCTGACACTTTAGGGGAGCTAGATGGTGAGGGGGCACACCCGCTCACGCGCCCTGCAGCCGCGGAAAATCGCTGCCACACCTCCTCGGCAGCCAGGGGCATCGCTTCGCCTACCTCATTCCCCAACCTGAAAGGAGGCCCCTGCCACGAAATGCCCCACCTGCAGGGCACTCACTGTCTCCGACCTCCCCCTCACAACGCATGTCTCGAAACGCAACGCCCTTGAGCCTGGCGCGGGTGGGACACGGCACTGGGGGGCGGCGAAGGGGGGAGGGCAGCGGCGACGGGCGACCAGCGCATGCGCAGATACGCGTACCCGCCCGTTTACCTACCGTTGGAACAGCGATGCCCCGTTCCCCGACCGCGGCCGCTTCTCCAGGACCCGCGGCGACGGCAAGAAGGCGAGAACTGAGGCCCCAAGTGGCTCCGCGGCCGGCGAGCCTCTTCCCGGGGCGGTCGCTGACAGGCAGCTGAAGAGACGAAGGTGGCGCGGGGCCAGCCCGGTAAGTGACCCTCGGATCGCCCCCGGCGGCAGTGGCGGCAGAGACGCGGGGGCGGGAGCGGGGGCGGGAGCGGGAGCGGGAGCTGGGGCGGGGGCCGGCGGAGCAGCGTCTGAGGCGCAGAGCCTCCCTAACGGCAAGCGGGAGGAGAGCGGAGGGCGGAGGGCGGAGGCCTGGCCGGACGTGACGTGCGTGGGCGGGGCGGGGCCGGCGGAGGGCGGGGGAGGGGCGAGCGTGTTGTGAGGGCTGCGGGTGTTCCCCATGTCCCTTGCTAGCCGCACCCCTGGCTTCAAGGGGCGTGCGAGCAGCTGTGTTTATGGCCCCGAATTTGGGCCTTTGGGCCCCTGAATTAAGGTGCGAGAAGTCAAGCGCACTCTTCAGGGAGGGTCTTGGAGTCAACGGTTTGGGTGAGGTTGGGAAGGAGAAAGGTAATAGGGATAAAGGGGAAATGCGGAAGATCGAGGCCATGACTCTTCTCTATGTGCCTCGGAAGATAGGGAAAATTTAGGATATCCTAATCCCAGTGAGAAGCACACGGAGGCAACAGAAAACTGCCGGAGCACACCTGAGCGGTGACTCGCGTTCCCATTCCCAGGCTTGTCGGTTAGACAGGGACATCGGTGCTGCCCTGCTGCCTTCTGCCCTCTCCACACCCTTCCCATCGTTTACGATCCTAAAGCTGTAACCTAGACTCCCAAGACAACAAGGTGTCTTTGGTGCCACAAGGGTCTGGGAATATGAAAGTCATGCTCACAGTGAACTTCATGTAAACAGCTTCAGGGTCAGAGCTGAAAAAGGCCGAAAGAACAAGGTGCTCTATCAGTCCGTACTGCTTACGTATCGGATCAACCCAGACCCACTCTGCAGCTTCGTTTGCGTTCACAAAGGTTTCAGTATTCAGCCAATCTCTTCTTTGCGTTAGCCTACTGAAGGCTTCCAGATCTTCCACTGAGTAAAATGCAGTCCTCTGCCTTTAAGTTCTTTGGCAGCCGGGTAGATCTGCACCTGCACAAAGAACTCTTCCGTGTCCGGAAAAACATAAACCACCACAATCCAGTTGTTCCCTACCTTCCTGGCCTGGAAGTCAGTAAGTAGGAAATTTTGAAACAAAAACCCTCATAGAATTTGGGACAAGTTGGGGGGGGGGGGTTGTTAAATAAAATTGTTAAAGTTACTCTATGAGATGATCTGAAAATGGGCAGGGTGGCCTCAGAGAGACTAAAATAAATCATCAGTAACCTAAATGCCACATACCCAGTTGATGGTGTCATAAGAGAAGGGTGGAGTCCACCAAGAGTCTAGAACCAGCAGAACAGAATATATTGTGGGGCTCCCACTTGTTCAGGTGAGAAACCTAATGAGCAGTACCAATACCCAGTATCAGGGCAGTTAAAAAGCCTAACTCAGATTCAGGTGCTCATTCAACAAATGTTTATTGGTTATATGTTCTAATCTCTTAGAATACATCAGAAAAGGATCCCTGCCCTTGTGTAGTTTGCAGCTGAAGGAATTGAAATCCTGGATATCCTTTAAGAACAAAGGGGGGGGGAAAGGCAAACATACAAAGAGCCTCCAAATAAACATACCCAGCAAGAGGCAGTTGTTCACGGCACGTGGCTGGTAGTAGTTACACTTACTATACAGTCAGTAAATTCACATTAGAATTTATAAAGCACCTTCTGTTCACTGGGTTGAATTGTGAAGTTGTTTTATATAAATTAACTTCCCAGAGACTGATTAAACTCTAATGAAGTGAAATGTAAGTTTCGGAATGCCAAACTGAGAACCGGACAGACTCTGATTTCATAGCAACCCAGTTGCCATGTAGCCTGTATATTCAGCCTTAAGTCTTTAAACATGTTAAATGGTAGCTTTACCTGTGATTTCATGTTTGGAGCTCTGGAGCAACATGATTGCATCTAAAGTATAAAACAATAGAACTCATGAGAGAGTTAAAAACCCTCCGGAACCACCTCACCTATGCAACATAGGCTCTTGTTGACATAGCTGACTGCTATAGGTGTCTTCTCAAAGTGTGAAGCCCAAGACTAAGCTCTCAGAGGACAGGACTCCCTTACACTTAGGCTTACACTCCCTTACACTCCCTTACACTCTACCCCGAAGTACTGACTCGCAAAAAATAAATGAGTTCATCCAATGACCGTTGTTCCTTTGTAAAACTTAAGAACTTGTCCTTGGAGGATCTTTTCTAGATCCTCCTTTATAATATGGACCCAGTCTGTTTAACAAGTAGGATTCTTAGAGTATTCAAATAAAACAAAGCCTTTACTTTTATCTCTCACGATCGCTTTAGTAGATCTCTCATACGCTTGGTTGAAAATACAGGCTCTATGACTTCTGTGTTCCCTGTTGTTGTTGTTAGGTGCCATCGAGTAGAGGTTCTGGCCCATAGCTAACTTATGCACAACAGAGCAAAACACCATCAAGTCCCTCTTAGGTAATAGAAAGTCACCAAAACACAAACACACAGAGTAAAACTTTTACCTGTTCTCCCGCTGGAAGAAGCTGGCTCTCTGCTTGCTCAAAAAGAACATTATCCTCTCTAACCCTGCCTAGTCTTTCTAATTCTTCCCAACTTACTAACCAGAGTCAAAGGGTGGGAAAGAAAGGGGAACAGAAAAGCTCTTAACTTTTACTTTCATGTGCTAGATTAACACTCTGTAGACTTGGTATGGTGGAGGGACAGTGAAAAAGAGGAAGGCCCTCAAGGAGATGGGTCAACACCATGACTGCTCAAGCATAAAACAATTGAGAGGATAGCACAGGACCCTGCGGTGTTTAAATTCTGTTGTGCATGGGCTGACTGTGAGTCAGAACCTACTCAATGGTACCTAACAGCAACAACTGACTTTCTTCTCTTGGATACTTTCATATTTACTTCAGACATCACTATCATCCTAATCTTTGGTGGTTTCCATCAACTGTTCCCTTCATCCGAGCAAAAGCTCTCTGATTTAGGTAGTTCTTGACTCCTTTCACCTTCAACTTCTTGTCTGTTAAGCCTGATCATCTCTGTAACTCTCACACTAGCCTGCTAGTAAGAGGCCTAGGGCCACCCCATGTGGCTGTGCAAGGTTGTGCCCTCTGTAACCCTGTCATCCACCTACCTACCAGTTGCCACTGAGTCCACTCTGGCTCAACCTACACTACATCCTCACTGTATGCAGCAATCCCATGAATGTCAGAGTAGAACTGTGTTCCATAGGGTTTCAGTAGCTGATTTTTCAGAAGTAAATTGCCAGGCTTTTCTTCCAAGGGATTCTGGGTAGATTTGAATAGGGGGTGCCAAGTCATTGTACATTTATTTACTCTGACAGTTTTCCAGCAGATGGCAGTGAAGTGTTGTGACCAAACCAAATTAACAGATCATGACTATTTCACAATTAATACAAGAAAAGTATCTGGAGCAAGGAGAGGTTTTGTTTTGTTTTTCTGATGCTGTTATTTAGGCTAATGGCAGTTGTTCATGGCCTACACCTGGCCCACAGGAGGCTCTGACACACTTTCATGACCACATTTGGGAATGCAGGTCAATCTCAGTTCGGCTTCAACAAGTCCTCTGCTTCACTGCTAAAATAGCTGTCAGCCCTTCTCTTCTATAGGCAGTCACCAGACACAGGTCCCCTGTGCCCTCTAACTGCATGAGACACATTTCAAGCACTCTGAGTAATTCCTTTGAAAGCCCCTTTCACTGCACTTGAAGTCAGAGGCAGGCAGGCACAGCATACCAGTACACTGCAGTCTGTAAAGAGAGGCTCCTTGACCTTTTATTACATGGTGTGAATATTTAGTTATCTATGTACTTTTATCTAAATCCTTTGAAATTTCTATAGGAGTGCAGCTCAGAACTCACTTCAGTGGGTTTTTGTTTTTGCTTTATTTTGCAATATCTGGGTGCATCAGTTAAAACAAGTGCTCAAGTAGGAGAGATTCGGGGAGCCATGTCTATAGATCTTTTTTAGTTAATGAAACTGGGGAGATGCTTTGTCATCTATCTAGTGGGTAGAGATCAGGGATGCTACTAAGCATTCTATTATGTCAGTTGCCATAGTCTCATCCTAGCTCCTCAGTAAGGAATTTTCTAAGTCAAAATGTCATAGTTCTGAGGTCCAGAAACCTTGAGTTAAAATGTCCACGTTAACAACTTGTAACTGTCCGAACTTGGCAGTCACTATGAGAACTTTTCAGAATTATGTCACTTTTTCTTGTGTATTTTTTTTCCTCCAAATGCTTCACCTGCACATATAGAGGTCATGCTTTAATATGTCATTGGAGTCAAAAACATCATTTCAGATAACTGCTTGGCCAGAAGTGACTGGTAGAGGCCAAGCCTGTGTGTTTCTAAGATTCCCTCTGGAGACGAGACTATGCCAGTAAATGTATTACTTGAGGTGAGATTTTTCCAGTTATTTCTTTGCAAGATTATTTTGAGGGGGAGAGTGTTAAAAGGGCTTTTAGTGTATATGGGAAGATATAGGTAACAAAATGTCTACCAGCGGAATAATTTTTATGTGTGCAATCAGTGGCATTATGTTCATTAGGTTGTGCAACCATTACCACCCTCCATTGGCAAATTTCCCCCTTACCTTTAACAGAAACACAGTGCCTTTTAAGCACTAGCTCTCCCTTTTCCCTTCCCACTCACTCCGGGTCTCTCCTCGTAAATTTTCATCTCTATTCATTTGCCTAGTCTAGAGAATCCATAACAGCAGAACCATAATAATATTTGTCCTTTTGTGCAATTGTGGCAAGATGATTTTTAAAACCCAGAGAAACAGGCAATCTAACTTATACAACTGAGCCAACGCTTTATACCCTCTCAGAAGTAACACCATGACCAGGTCACTGAAGAAGGGTTATACAGGAAAACCTGTGAAAGCTGGAACCCTTGTAAGGCAGAAACATGTCAGAGAAGGAAAACGCAAATATTTTCAAACATGTTAGAGAAGGAAAACTCAAATATTAAAAAAAAAAAACTCAAATATTTTCACTTACAAAGAAAGAACGACAGAAGAGTGGTGAAACAACCCTATCAATAAAAGAAAACATGTGAGATGCAGAAAAGGAAGTCCTGTCGAGTTCCGGGTCTCAGATATCACTGTACATTGCTTGCCACCCCAAGGAATGAGTTAGGGGCAACCCAGGGTGATAGGTATCTCGAAGCTGAGTGACACTAGGGTGCGAGGAACTCTCTAAGCCCAGAGTCACTGCACAACTTGTGCCATCATTGTTCATAGAGAATGCAAATGCCCCTTTTTCTTCCCTTAACATTATTTAGAGTTCAGCTCTTCTAGATGCAGCAGGAATGTTGATCCCATTTCTTGTGCCATGCATAAGTCCTCATTATACAGCCTTCCTACCCTCATCTCTGACCAAGGCTATTTGAGTAGTGGAATACCGATTAACTTTTGTTCAGTTAAGGCTGAGGCTGCCATGATTTTTTTTACTACAATGTTAATAAAGAATAGGAACCATAGAAGCAGGCTGAAGCAAAAGGACACATTCCATTCCCCCCAATTCTACAACGGACATTCAGTACTGATAAATGTTGGCTTTGGACTGTTTATTAATCATTTCTTCTTTGGCTTCCTGGCCCACAGAGGCAGAAGCTAAGGGACCACGTGGCTGAGAGACTGAGGACTTGAGAGAGAGTTGGCTGCTGTCTGAGGAGGGGTGTTGACATGGACCGATGACTATATCCTTACTGTTTGCTGATCCTGACTCGTGGTAACCTAGTAACTTTTAATAAACCCCTTTAACTGTGAGTATTGTCTGAAAGTTCTATGTGGCCATTGCAATGAATTCTCAAACCCAGCATAGATTTAGTGCGCCATGGGAGAAACAGTGGGTGTCAGATTAGGTAAAGAAGGACGGAGCATGGAGGTGGTCTGACCTCTGCCTCATGGCGGCAGGGTAGCCAGAGGAGGTCAGACATGGCCAGCCCACCATGCCGTTTACTGCGGACTTTTGTGTTGGTGGTGGCCATGGAGTCGATGCTGACTTAAGGCAGCATTACATGTAACAAAGTTGAATGGCTCCGGAGGGTATTAACAGAAGCAGATTGTAACAAAATCATCTCACCAGGCCTTTGCCTCCACCATGCTGCTATTGAACACAAACCATTTTCGCCAGGGACCAGGCTTGACTTAACATAAGAACATTGAACTTGGAATGAGAACACCTGCATTTGAATTCTAGTTCTGTCACTTACTAGCCTTGTAACTCTGGTCAAGCTACTTAACCTAATGGTACCATAAACCAAACAAGACAGCCAACGCACTGCTATTGACTCAATTCTGACACACATCAACCCTATCCAGGATTCCTGGGGCTGTAAATTACACTATAAAAAGGTTTACAGTATAAATTTTTATGGGCACAGACAACCTTAATTTTCTCCCAAAAAGCAGCAGGTGGGTTTGAACCATCAACCTTGCAGTTTGCAATCCAGTGCTTACCCAACAGCACCATTCTAGAGTCAGTTAAAATGGGGAAAAAATAATAAATACTTGGTATACATGAAAGTGTTCTATAAACTGTGTACTACAAATTTTTCACTGACCTTTTCTGTACTGCTTTTGGAAGCCTAAAAAACTCTCTGTAAATGTACCACCACATCTAGGTTTTAATTATGTAGCATGAGGTCCCATGTGGGAACCTCTCTTGGCAGAAGTGGCTAAATGCATGCCCACCTATTTCTAAATGAAAACCAGTGACCCCTTCCCTCTGCAAACTCTTGCACCTGTTTTTAAGATCTGTTGAACTCGTGAGTTACAATAATCACAGTAAAACCTGTGAAAGCCGGAACAGGGAGAAGGCCAAAAGCTGTCAGAAAAGGACAACCCAAATATTTCCCACTAAAACAAGTGATGGGAGAGCAG